AGCCAGTGGGTTAGCACACTAGATGTCGTAGACTGTAAATACCATCACTGGCTGCTATGAGATTAAGTCCACGGGGGACGAATTAGCAGATCATGTATTTGTTTGTGTATTGGGGTCCTTGCTTACTCAAGTGATGAGTAGGTGACATGAGCATCATATAAACACAAGAAATATTAATGTTAGATTTATAGGCGGTAGTTATGTCAAATCCATGATAACAAGCTAGAAATATTTTTATGTGAAACACCTTGGTCCTGGTATGCATCATCATAAGTTTCCATTGGCAGACTGTGATGCTGCCAGGCTTCATTTGCCAGTCCAACTCCCTCACGAGATCTTATGTCAACATCAAGTCAGTCAGTCTAGGCTATTCTCAGCAATAAACATTTGACAAACTGTTTGTACCTTCTTAACAGAAGCAGGGAGTTGCATAGGAAAATACTAAGCAAGGTTTCTTGCTTGTTTGGCGTTAAAGGACCACTACAGCTTATTTATTTTTGTAAATATTTTATTATATATTTTCATGTGACAACACTGACGAAATGACACTCTGCTATAATGTAAAGTACAGCCTGTATAACAGTGTAAATTTGCTGTCCCCTCAAAATAACTCAACCCACATCCATTAATGTCTAAACCGTTGGCAACAAAAGTGAGTATGGGCATGGAGTTCAACAGAGCTTCACAGGTTGCCACTGGAGTCCTCTTCCACTCTTCCATGACGACATCAAGGAGCTGGTGAATGTTAGAGACCTTGCGCTCCCCCACCTTCCGTTTGAGGATGCCCCACAGATGTTCAATAGGGTTTAGGTCTGGAGACATGCTTGGCCAGTCCATCACATTTACCTTGAGCTTCTTTAGCAAGGCAGGGGTCGCTTGTATTTGGGGTCATTATCATGTTGGAATACTGCCCTGCGGCCCAGTCTCAGAAGGGAGTCTCAGAAGGGAGGGGATAATGCTCTGCTTCAGTATGCCACAGTACATGTTGGCATTCATGGTTCCCTCAATGAACTGTAGCTCCCCAGTGCCGACAGCACTCATGCAGGCCCAGACCATGACATTCCCACCACCATGCTTTACTGTAGGCAAGAGACACTTTTCTTTGTACTCCTCACCTGGTTGCCGCCACACACGCTTTACACCATCTAAACCAAATAGGTTTATCCTGGTCTCATCAGACCACAGGACATGGTTAAAGTAATCCATGTCCTTAGTCTGCTTGTCTTCAGCAAACTGTTTGCGGGTTTTCTTGTACATCATCTTTAGAAGAGGCTTCCTTCTGGGACGACAGCCATGAAGACCAATTTGATGCAGTGTGTGGTATATGGTCTGAGCACCGACAGGCTGACCCCCCACACCTTCAACCTCTGCAGCAATCATATGTCTATTTCCCACGTTTGCTTTTTAGGTTCTTATTGTGTATAAGACAATGAAAAAAAATTGAAACATTATTTCCTTAACGCCAAACAAGCAAGAAACTTTGCATTTAGTATTTTCCTATGCAACTTCTTGCTTCTGTTAAGAAGGTACAAACAGTTTGTCAAATGTTTATTGCTGAGAATAGCCTAGACTGACTGACTTGATGTTGACATACTTCAACCTCTTGATATGACGCTGAGCACGTGCACCCAACTTCTTTGGCCGACCATGGCGTGGCCTGTTCTGAGTGGAAACCGCTGTATGGTCTTGCCCACCAAGCTGCGGCTCATTTTCAGGGTCTTGGCAATTTTCTTATAGCCTAGGTCATCTTTATGTAGAGCAACAATTCTTTTTTTTCAGATCCTCGGAGAGTTCTTTGCCATGAGGTGCCATCTCACTTTTGTAAGATACTGTACATATATACAATTGAGACTGTCTTCTCCCTTGGTGTCTCAGTATATATATGGCTATAGTGCAACTTAATGGTCATATTCACAAAGCCAAAAAAAATTACAAGTGCACTCACTTGACTTATCTTCAATTGCTTGCAGTGCTGCCTCTATCCACAGCAGTCAACATTTCAATGCACCATCTGAACTTCTAGCCAGTCAATTTTTTTTATTTTTTTTTGGTTTTGTATGTTTATATATAAATATGATCACATAGTAGATGGCCGAGTGGCTCACAAACAGGCCATACTAATTTATAGCCAGTTTGGTTATACTCTTCTGTAAACAAGATATCTTGATAAAGTAGAAGTATTCTTTTTGCAGGTAACTCAGTTCACACATGACATTATGACATCATGCTACTGATGGATGCAAGAATGGATTGGATGCAAGAATGGATTTTTTGCTTCTTTATATTTTGTGGGTATTTTATGAGTTTTAAAAAAATAATAATATTGGGATTCAGAGATGAAGAGGCATGGGTACAATTTGCTGTTTGTAGTTGTACATTGAAAAAAAAAAAAAAGTATGAATTCACTTGAGAGCTTGTAATAGATAACAAGGTCCAACTCAAATTAAGAAATTAACCAAAAGAAAAAAACAAATAAAAGAAAGATATGAAAGACGTAATAATTTAATAATAACAAATTACCGCAGAAGATAAAATAATACTTGGCCTATACGTGGTTTTGTAGTATAGAGCAATAAGTGCACTTTCAATTTGATTAACCATCGAGAAGCAGTGACTCTCTCATTCACTTTTCTAGCAAATATCTCTGTCAGAAAAATAAACTTAGTAAAACAAAAACTGATGGAACATTAACAAAGAGGCAATGTAGAACTTATGTAAGAATCCCACAAATTGGTTTAGGACTTGGAGACACTATTGTCATGTTTAGTCGTTTGCTTTGTCAGTTACCTTAATTAAGGAACGCTTTAACTGATCCCCATGCCATTGCTATGAAAGTATGAAATGTTGGGTAAAATTGAGAAGTGAAATATGTCACGTAGTCTATGGATCTCCATAATGCAGACAGTTTATATTAAGCAGTGGACTTCAGCCAAGAATGAGTGTATACTGGGGCATGCCCATCAGATATGGTATTGTAATTAAAGGGTTTTAGGAATATTTATGCTGTCAACTGAAACTGTTTAGTCTTCAGCTCCATTACATAACACACAGATATGTGCATACAGCGAGATTTGAACTCATATTTTCTATTTCTGAGTAGCAAGCAGATTTACTTTGGAATTTTTCAGCCTTCGTAATCCTGCACTAAAAGATGAGCAACATGTCACCCATGGTGTATCTGACCTTAGTCATGGTTTGGTTGTCCAGCTGGACACTTGCCCAGGCAGTCAGTGATTAATGCTTTGCCACCACTGTGTCACTGTGGTGCATTGGATACAGAGATTACCCCACAACATATGCTGCTTGTGAGTTTCATCAAAACTCCAAAACACAAAACTCACCTTACTACACCTAAATGTGAGTCAACAGAGGAACCATTACATTCACGCAGCTCACATAAAATGCATGCATGACATATACATGAAAACATATAATATAAACACACTATACACAGTAACAGATTTCACCTAGAAACACTCACTTTATACTAATTAAAGGGACACTATAGTCACCAGAACAACTACAGCTTATTGAATTTGTTCTGGTGTGTAGAATCATTAGCTTCAGGCTTTTTGCTGTAAACACTGTCTTTTCAGAGACAATGCAGTGTTTACATTACAGCCTGGTGATAACTGCACTGTCCACTCCTTAGCTGGCTGTTAGAGGTCCTTCCTGGGTCATGGCTGCCTAAAATGCATCCAAACATTCAGTATCTCCACCCTCTGCATGCAGACAATGAACTTTCCTCATAGAGATTCATTGATTCAATTCATCTCTATGAGGAGATGCAGATTGGCCAGGGCTGTGTTTGGATCATGCTGGCTCTGCCCCTGATCTACCTCTTTGTAAGTCTCAGCCAATCCTATGGGGAAACATTGTGATTGGATCAGGCTACTAATTCTGATGATGTCAGCAGACTGCTTGTTTTTTTTTTAGGCAAACAGCATGCAGATCTACAGCTTCAGGCTTGAATACAGTAAGATTTGCTATATTTATGGAGGCATGAGGGGACCAGGGGTGGTTTTAACCTTAAAGGGTAAGGAATACATGTTTGTGTTCCTGACCCTATAGTGATCCTTTAACTACATTGTCATAACAAAAACACATATCATACAAACCAGACATTCAAAACAAATCATAGTCTTGTCATGGTGTGATTACCCTTGCTTACAGGATATGGGAAACCCACAAATAGAAGGTCAGAAATAGATGTATTACAGGGCCTTAGAGTGGCTAGACTTAATATTATTTATAGATAGAGACAAAGTCAGAAATAAAGGATAGAAATAAGAGTATACGAATAAACAAGCCAAGGTCAAAATCAGAAATTTAAGAGAGACTTACTTACTATATGGTTACCACGGTAGAAACCATAATTGAGTACTAAATAAAGGCCTGAACAAGCATTACATAGGCTTACTTTACTTCTGATTGGTCCAAGTCAACATTGCGACTCCAAAACTTACAATAATGGGGTCGTCTAGGTGCCGTGGGCACTTTAAGACTAGATGTGATGTGTCCCAAATTTAATAGAAATAAGGACGCACCATTCGAGTAGGCAGAATTGCTACATGCGTTTGTGTGGTGCATTAGGCCCACGCAAATTGAAAGGAGAGGTTTGTTGCTAAACGGGTGAGTATTTCATCCTTAGCCTCCACTTGTCTCTCAGGAGGCAGGCCGCGAGGAAGAGAGGAGCATTACCTGTGAAGGGGAGCGGGTCGACGGCGTTGAGTAGGTAGTATTGTTACAAGTCTTATTCAGCCATTTTACAAATATTTTTGACTGTGTACACTTACATGAGTTACACACATAACCAGGGCAGGACTGGCCCACCCGGATACCGGGAAATTTCCCGGTGGGCCGCGGCACCTGGGGGCTGCGCTGCCACATAGGTGCCACCGGGTGGCCAGTCCGGTGGCACACTCAGAGGGGGCCGGCCGCGTTCCAGGCTGGAGCCGCCGGGCCGGGAGATAGCTTCGCCGGTCCGGCGGCACTCCTGTCACTGATGATGCTGATGGCTGAAGGAGGAGGAGCATGTCTACCATGCTCCCCCACAATTCCCAGCACAGAAACCACGAGGGAGCATGGTACACATGCTCCTCCTCCTTCAGCCATCAGCAACAGCAGTGCCACCGGACCGGCGGCTCCAGCCTGGAAGGCAGCCGGCCCCCTCTGACTTCTCTAGGTAAATGGGGGGGGAATAAAACAGAGGGGAATAAAGAGATGGTGGAGGGAGGAGGGAGAGACACAGGGAAAGGGGGGAGGGATGGTACAGAAAGGGGGGAGGAAGAGAGATGGGAGGAGGGAGAGACATGGGGAAAGAGGAAGAGATGGGAGGAGGGAGAGACACAGGGAAAGGGGGCGGAAGAGAGATGGGGAGGAGGGAGAGACACAGGAAAAGTGGGGAGGGAGAGACACAGGGAAAGGGGGGAGGAAGAGAGATGGAGAGGAGGGAGAGACACAGGGAAAGGGGGGAGGAAGAGAGATGGGGAGGAGGGAGAGACACAGGGAAAGGGTGAGAAAGAGGTAGAGGGGGAAGAGAGAGACAAAGAGGGAGAAATGAGAGAGACACACATAGGGGCAGTATATATCACTGGTGGATGGGGGGGGCAACGGGGGAGGAAGAGAGGACCCGGGGCAACGCTCCGGCTCTCACGAGGGTGAACTCTAGCCCTGGAGCAACGGGCTAGAGTTCACTCTCACCACTTCCTGGTGGTAGCAGTAGTAAGAGTGAACTCTAGCCCCATACACACACTGCCCCCACACACACATACACTGCCCCCACACACACCATACACATTCACACACTGCCCCCACACACCCACACACTGAACCTTTCACACACATTGCACCACTGCTCCTATACCCTACTACAGCCCCATATCCCAGCAGACTCCAGGTAAGTTGTCAAACTGTTCTTAAACAGTTTGACTACTTACTCTGGGAGGGGGTGCCGACACTCCTGGCACCATAACCACTACACAGATGAGTAGTGGTTATTGTGCATGGAATATTTATTTAAATAATCTACAAGTGCCCCTCCCGGGCTCAGGCTCTGGATCCGCCACTGGTATATGACATATATATATATATATTTATGCCTATTATATTTACACATATTAATGTACATTTATATATGCATAATACACAGAGAAATTTCATTAATATGTACCATATGTAATGAGCAGATATTGGCCCAGTCTTGTTGCTAGGTGCATACTCCAGCACAATAACATATTTAAAGTGAAGAGCACACCCACAGGACTTCAAAATAAAAATTTTTTACAGTTGTGCCCTACATACATTCACCATTTCAGTCCCATTAACAAGCTTTCCTTAAAGGACCACTATAGTGCCAGGAAAACATACTCGTTTTCCTGGCACTATAGTGCCCTGAGGGTGCCCCACCCTCAGGGTCCCCCTCCCGCCCAGCTCTGGAGAGAGGAAGGGGTTAAACACTTACCTTTCTCCAGCGCCGGGCGGGGAGCTGTACTCCTCCTCTCCTCCTTGCTCGTGACGCCATCGGCTGAATGCGCATGCGCGGCAGGAGCCGTGCATGCATTCAGCCGGTCGCATAGGAAAGCATTTACAATGATTTCCTATGGACGCTTGCGTGCTCTCACTGTGATTTTCACAGTGAGAAGCACGCAAGCGCCTCTAGCGGCTGTCAATGAGACAGCCACTAGAGGCTCTGGAGGCTGGATTAACCCTCAGTATAAACATAGCAGTTTCTCTGAAACTGCTATGTTTATAAAAAAAAGGGTTAATCCTAGAGGTACCTGGCACCCAGACCACTTCATAAAGCTGAAGTGGTCTGGGTGCCTAGAGTGGTCCTTTAATATGTCAAGGTAGTTGGACTGAAACATTGATTACATGCAAAGGCACGTCTGCTTAAAATAAATCTGCACTTTTGTTTATTTTGAAGCCCATGAGTGCACTTTTTTACGTTGAAGTACATTTTAATTTTAAGTTATCTGTTCTAACTCTGTACCTGCACACTATGCTGGCGCGACGCATTATGGGGCTGGTTAATATTTTTTTTCCAGGGCTGCTTTTAATTCCAAGTCCGGCCCTGCACATAACATAAGGATCACAACCATTATATAAATCACATGTACACATTAAGAACATACGTAACAGACATAAGACATAACACACAGACACAAACAAAAAACGTAAATACATTCCTGCAAACATGAATATTCACAGGAAGTATCCCTAGGGGCAATGTATATACTGCCTTTTCTCTGAGAAAGCAGTATTTGCATGAAAACGCCTGAAGGGAATGATTCTACTCACCAGAACAACTACAAAAAAACTTAGCTGGTTGACAATATAAATAGGCTGATTCAAGGTAGGTGTATCAGTAGAAAACCTTTTGTGGCATAACCGTGCATTCCGCATCCCTTACACTTCCCCAACACATACCCTCACTACCTCCTCAATTCATCTCTTGCCAACCCTTATCTTCCCTTCTGCTCTACTTTTCCACTATATCTCCTATACCTCTCTGTTGCACATTTGATCACAGAGACGGAGATCTGCTGATCTCATGATATAACATTTTAAAATGCACCCTTACTATGAGACACAGATATAATAATTATAGGGACACTTAGATGAGTCACATTTTAACATTATAGGGACACTCCACTTCCCAAATACAAACAAAATGAACTATTTTGTAGATAAATTCCCAGTGAAAACATGTATGCATTTAATTATGCATTTTTCACCAGGGTATAGCTAAAATCAGCTTCCAAAATATGCAGTTATCTTGTTTGCTGCCTTTACAGTCCCTCCCCTTCTAACTCCGCCCAGACTTTCTGTTGTTGTCCAATTACAGACTTCCCAATGCAGCTCTATGAGAAGTCTTTGCAAGTTAGGTGTCTGGGCAATTGGCTGCCTCTTGAATTTAGCTCCACTGAGCTAAAGAACCCGGAAGTAAAATAACATGACGTCTGACTTACAGTCAGAGGGTGTAACTATGTTAATTTATAAAAGTGTACATTTCCAGTGAAACTGGAAATGGCACTTTTTGTAAATTGAAAACAGATTATACACTCTTCAGACATAAAGCACTTCGGCAACCTTGAGTGTTTTAGGTGTGTAGAGTGCTACTTAACATTAAAGTACATATACAAATTTATTTTACAATGTGAATTTAACATACAATTGCTGCTTGACAATGAATGTCCATATGATAAAACAAACAAAGGCTTACCTTGGTAAAAACACACTTTCCACTACATAAAAGTCTTGCATGAGTACATCTCTGTCTGGCTTGGATGTAAGGTTACCCACCGTGTAGCCTATTCCCAGTTGAATGGTGCCTTTAATTTCGGATGATGCTGCCTGGAAAAGAGAACACACGTATATATCTATTATCCACCAACAAGTGAGCTATTGTTATGCATTGTACGTTTTGGGCAGCACCGGACAGATATTTCATATATTAAACTATTATAGCTGCTCATTTACGGTTTACTTGGCACAAGAAGAAAGAAAAGGCTCATTCTTAATAAATAAAGTAAGAATGGTGCTCACTGTACTGTGCCTGAAGCTAAGTTTTTATTTGATATTAAGTAGCAATTTAAAAAAATAATAATGCTGTTTAATGAATGAGACTTAATTCATAAAAATAGGTAGAACGCAATTCCTTCCTATGTAGGCAGCTGCAATATTATGATATGTACCTAATCATATACAAAACGGTATAGCTGGAAGCCTCAATAGCTGCTAAAACATGAACATTAACGACATCAGCCATTTTAGATAGCAGGTATAGATGGATTTTAAAATATTCTCCTACATGTCACTCAATGACATCATTCAATTAATAAAAAATCTAAAAAAACATACATAATTGAAACATGACAACTCCTTTATACAGTGAGGTCAATGGAGTCCAAATCAACCTTACTTTTCCATGAATGTTCCTGCTCTTACTTACTTGATCCAACTTTGACCTTGACTTAATATTTTTGGATAACCTTTTTAAATGATTTCAAATGTCTAAATCTGTGTTAGTGAGCACTTCTTCATTGCCAAGATAATCCATCCACCACACAGGTGTGGCATATCAAGATGCTTATTAGACAGCATAATTATTGCACAGGCATGCCTTAGGCTGGCCACAATAAAAGGCCACTATAAAATGTGCAGTGTTACTCTATTGGAGGGATCCGGGGGGTTTGAAAATCAGTGCAACACATCTCACGCAGTGCAACACATCTCCTTTGCGAAGAGTTGATCAGGTTGTTGATTGTGGCCTGTGGAATGTTGGTCCACTCCTCTTTAGTGGCTGTACGAAATTGCTGGATATTAGCAGGACCTGGAACACGCTGTCGTATATGCCGATCCAGAGCATCCCAAACATGATCAATGGATGACATGTCCGGTGAGTATGCTGGCTATGCAAGAACTGGGATGTTTTCAGCTTCCAGGAATTGTGTACAGATCCTTGCAACATGGGGCCGTGCATTATCATTCTGCAACATAAGGCGATGGTTGTGGATGGTTGTGGGCACTCTGGAATGCCCACTCCATCTGCAGTAATTTAAAATCAACAACCATACACGACTTTTTCATCTTTTTCATCTCAAACACTGCTTGCACTTACAGAGACCTGGCTGTCCCCCTCTGATAGCGCTACTCAGGCCTCTTTATGTTTTGGTGGGCTACAATTCTCTCACACTCCCAGACTCAACTGTAAAGGAGGCGGTGTAGGCATCCTTCTCTCCCCTCAATGTACCTTTCAACCTGCCCTATCCTTTTCTTTTTTGAAGTTCACACTGTCCTCCTATTTAAACCCACTCCTTTAAGAATTGCTATAATCTACCGCACCCCCGGTTATCCTAGACTATTCATTGAGCACTTTTCTTCCTGGCTTCCCCACTTCCTCTCATCTAGCACTCCTTCCCTTATACTTGGGGATTTCAATATCCCAATCAATAACCCCAATTGCACTGATGCCTCTTGTCTGCTCTCTGTAACCTCCTCCTTTGGCCTTACGCAATGGTCCAATCTAGCAACCCATACAGCAGGAAACACTCTTCACCAACCTCTGTACTGCCTCTAATCTCTCCAATATTCATTTTCCTCTATCTGACCACCATTTGCTGACTTTTGACAT